AGATTGGTTGGGGCGATATAAGATTATCATCGGGATTGCTCGAGGAATGTTATATCTACATGAAGATTCCCGACTTCGAATCATTCATCGTGATCGAAAAGCTAGTAACATCTTATTAGATGAAGATATGAATCCAAAGATTTCAGATTTTGGAATAGCAAAAATTATCCAAGTTGACCAGACTCAGGGGAAATACAAGTAGAATCGTTGGTACTTAGTAAGTTATATCCTTCAGTTCTAAAGCTTCCTCTTTTAGTACACAAATGCTGCAAGGGAAATGATTAATTGTTGTGTTTTTGTAGTCATTTATGCTCAATTAATTGTTGTTAATAGAGTCATTTGGTTAAATCTCAGCTCTTCTTCCCTAATTCTGCTCATTTTTTAGTTCCTTATATGTATTTGGTTGCTTGTGTTTTAGCGGTTACATGTCTCTGGAATATGCCATGCAAGGAAATTTTTCTATGAAATCTGATGTATATAGCTTTGGAGTATTAGTGTTGGAGATTATAAGCCGCAAGAAAAATAGCACATTTTACGTGTCAGGTCTTGCCGAAGATATCTTGACCTATCTAAGTCAAAGATGAAAATTTTCAGTTTCTGCCGTGATGATATAATTAATTTAGAAAATGATGCATTACAAAATTGAACTCTCAAATCCCAACACTTTTTTGTTCAGGCTTGGAAACTATGGAAGGACGAAACACCCTTAGAACTATTGGACTCAAGTTTGAAAGATAGTTGCTCAAGAAGTAAGGTGCTTAGATGCATCCATGTTGTTTTACTTTGTGTTCAGGAAGATCCTAGTTGCAGACCATCTATTACATCTGTTGTTCTTATGTTTAATAGTTATTCTATTACTTTGCCCTTGCCTAAAGATCCACCGTTCTTTAGGCGCATTAGAGACAATGACATTGTAGTAAATAATGGTAATTCAGGTGCCAAAAGAATGTCTATGACTAAGTTGCACCCACAACGAAGTGTCTTGTTGGTCTCAATATTTTTTTTTAGTAGATTGAATGTGGGTATGGGATTTTGAACTTCGACCTCAAAAGAAGTAGATGTTATTTATTGTCGAGATATGCTTATAATGCATCAATAAATGACTTAGGTTTAATGATGGTAAATAATCATTAGTTGTTTTATAGTTTAAAAATTGTATTGAGATTGCTAGCTAATTAGGTGAGACACTATTTCACCCAACATTAATGAGAAAAGAAAAAAAGAGAGGTATTTAGTTCAATAGATAGATTAGTGAAAGTTGGATATTAAAAACTATAATCTTTTTGGTTTTTCTGTTTTGCATTCTCAATTCTTTAAAGAAAAAAAAAAACCCCACAAATCAACAGGTGGTCTCGTACTTATATTTTAGTTATATATTTTACATTTTTCAATTTTAACAAGAATGAAATGAGATTAAAATATAAAATAGTATGTTTATAAATTTTAAAATATGAAACAGCTAGTGCAACTTGCGGAGGTGGCAAAAACTGCAGTTGTGAGGAGAGAGAGAGATATTGAGGATTTGGTTTGGAAAGTGGTGGAGTCGAAAATGAAAGGTTGGCCCAAATTTAGGATCACCTAAGTCGTATCCATTGCACACTACTTTCTACTTTTTACAACAGGTGACTCCAACTGCACATAGTTGGAGGCTCATAGATAGTGCATAGTTTGAGCCACAACAAATACAACTCGCGTCCATTGCAACGAATTCAGGGTGATTGGACAGGAGTCAGCTACTACCCTATTTTTGTTTTTTATTTTTTAAATTACATTATTAAAAAAAGAAAAAATCCAAGGAATACAGGTTGCTTCTTCAGCTTCTGCGTGACTGATTCGTGGATGGCAATCTGTAGTTCTGGGAAGGACCAATTGTCGTTTGTCTATTTTTCGAAAGAAAATTGTGGTTTGCCCGGCGTTGTCCCGATCTCGATTACTGGCGCTCCCTTTCTTAATCCTCAGTTCATATAATTTCTCGAACAAACCCGACTGCTTGAAGCTTCAATTCAATGGCTGCAACAAAGAGCGTGGTCTTGGGCATACTCAATTTTCTTAGTTTCATCTTCCTCCCTAGTTTCATCACCGCTCAGACTCTATTACAATACCCATATCGCAGTTGCTTACCCGGCAATTTCACCCAGAACAGCGCCTATCAGTCCAGCCTCAATCTTCTGTTTTTAGAATTCAACAACGTCGCCCACCAAAAAACGTTCCACAGTACGTCCGTTGGTCTGACATCAACCGACACCGTTTACGGTCTCTTCCAGTGCTGGGAAGACGTCACCGACAACTGTGGAGCTTGCGTGGCCACAGCCATCAACGACACGGCCAACAACTTCTGCCGCTTCAGGAAAGGCGCTGTGAGTTGGTACGACGGCTGCATATTGCGCTATTCCAACCAATCTATCTTTTCCGACCTCTCCACCGTCCCAAATCTCATGCTACTCAACACCGCAGATATAGACGCCGACAAGCCTCGCTTCAACCAACTGGTCATGTCCACGTTTGGGGGCACCGTGGCCCGGGCGGCTGACGCCTCTTCCGTGGCCGAAATGGTTGCAACTCGAGAGGCAAATTTCACATTTCATACACTTTACACATTGGCACAGTGCACCGGCGATTTATCCATTTCCAATTGCCGAGAATGCTTACGACAGGCCATCGTTGCTGTCCCGAGTTGTTGCGCAAATAAACGAGGCGGCAGAGTTTTGTATCCCAGCTGCTACGTTCGTTACGAAATTTACCCCTTTTACCGACTCACCGCCAACAATCCTCCACCAATTCCCCCGTCCACTCCCAAAACTCCACCACTGCCTCCTCCTCCTCATGCTCCCTCAGGTAATTGATATGACTTAAATTATATTAGTATAATTGTGCTGTGCTATCCAATTTTATTGGGTAATTTGTAAAAACAGGGGAAACCAGATCCTCCACTCTCATAATTCTGGTCACTGTGCTTCCAATTACCGTCTCCATTCTGCTTTTCGTCGGCTGGTGTTTCCTACGCCAGAGAGCAAAGAAGAGATACACTACTGTAAAGGAAGATCACAGTGGTATACGTTATTCTTTCCACACTAGCTCTGAAATTCAAGTTGGTTGATTTCTGAAAAATGAGATGCCAAGTTTGGACATAATTTGTGGGGTATGGCTTAATTTGTGCAGTTGTTAGTGGGATTAGCACTGTGGAGTCTCTGCAATTTGATTTCAATACAATCGATGCCGCTACTAACAAATTCTCAGCAGAGAACAGGATAGGTGAAGGTGGATTTGGTGCAGTCTACAAGGTACCCAAACAAATCCTTCACTTCTAATCTTTGTGTAATTAGCAAATTTCATTTGCTACTGATTTAGAAGCACGTTATTTGTTTCAGGGAAGGCTTGAAAATGGGCAAGAGATAGCAGTGAAAAGACTATCGAGAGGATCTTTGCAAGGCTCTGAAGAGTTCAAGAATGAGGTTATGTTGGTTGCTAAGCTTCAACATAGAAATCTAGTGAGGCTTTTGGGATTCTGCTTGGAGGGTGAAGAAAAGATTCTCATCTATGAATATATTCCCAACAAAAGCCTTGATTACTTCCTATTTGGTTTGTTCATTTCACACATTACCTTTCTTTCTACCTTTATTCATTTACTTTATACTTTAGAGTTTGTTTGATTCTTCTATTTTGAGTGCAGACCCCAAAGAGACAAAAAGAGTTGGATTGGTTGACCCGATATAAGATTATTAATGGGATTGTTCGGGGAATTTTATATCTTCATGAAGATTCCCGACTTCGAATTATCCATCGTGGTCTTAAAGCTAGTAATGTTTTATTGGATGAAAATATGAATCCGAAAGTTTCAGACTTCGGTATGGCACGAATTATTCAAGTGGATCAGAATGAAGCAAATACAAATCGAATTGCCTAGTAAGTTTTCCTTCTATCCCAAAGCTTGTTTGAAATCATTTATGCTCAATGATCGAGTAATTATAATAAATATGGGATAATTTTTACTTTGTAACTTAAAACTTGAATGTTGATTATTAATAATTCTACATTTCAGCGGTTACATGTCTCCTGAATATGCAATGCACGGAAACTTCTTTACAAAATCTGATGTGTATAGCTTTGGAGTCTTAGTGCTGGAGATTATAAGCAGCAAGAAAAACAATACATTTTATCTATCGGGTCTTTCGAAAGACATCTTGACCTATGTAAGTCAATGATGAAACTTTTCAATTCTTTCTCTTAGCAATTAAATTGAACTTAGCAAATGATGTATTACGCTTAACTCTCAAAATTATTATTTTTTTCGTCAGACATGGAAACTATGGAAGGACGAAATACCACTAGAACTATTAGACCCGAGTTTGGGAGACAACTACTTAAGAAATGAGGTACTTAGATGCATTCATATAGCTTTACTATGCGTGCAAGAGGATCCTAGCTGTAGACCTTCCATGGCATCCATTGTTCTTATGTTGAATAGTTATTCGTTTCCTTTACCTCTTCCTAATGAGCCAGCATCCTTCATACGAAATACAGACAATAACAGTAATCAATCTGCAAGTAGGTCAGTCCAATGGTCTGCCAATAAAATATCCATAATTGAGTTGGATCCTGGTTGAAGTAAGTCTGGTAATAGTTTAATATTAATTCTTGGTTGCAAAAGACATAGTGTGGATCTGAAGTACTCTCAAGATTTTATTTGTTTTTAAGTAGTCCAAATGGTTGTTAGATCATGTCATCTTATCTATAGTGTAAGAAATAAACATTCTATCAATTAATTTTAATGATACGTATTTCCATTTGTTAATATATCATCAATTTTTTTATTTATATATTAAATGTTAGAATCTTCACTCTCATGTTATTTTTTTTAATAAAAAATTTGTCGATATTAAAGATATACGTAATTTAAAATATTAAGATTTTAATTGAAACCTTAAGATTAAATTGATAAAAGGTTGAAAATACAATGGGAATTATGTAATTTAACTAAAGATCACTGTTACAAAATTGAGGAGGTTTGAATCGTCTAAAATGAAGGATAGAGGTTAGATATTGGAATTGAATAGCAAAATCCAACATGAAGCTTCTTGTTTTTTTTTTTATTATTTTTATAGTATAATATAACAAATGTAGGGGAGGATTCCAAATTTTGAACTATAAAAATTTAGAAAATCAATCCGGAAGAATAGTCAGAATTTGAATGCGCAAGGATTGACGAGCACGGCTCACGATCGGACACGTGGTTTGGGTTTGAATAGCAAGTAAAAAAATATGGAAAAACAACGATAACAATAAATTTAGATACACATGGAGAGGTGGATGAAAATATCTCTAACAAAAAATAGTCAGAATTTGAATGCGCAAGGATTTACGCATAACTCATCAAAATTTAATAAATAAGTATTTTGTCATTTTAAATGAATTAAAAATTATTTAATATTAATATTATGTTTATATCGATAATATTTTTTTATAATTTATCAATTTTTTTTGTAATATCATGAAAATATCGATTTTATATTGACGAGAAAATCTCGTAGAAAATTTAATACCCTTGAAAGTAATCCAAGCCCCACTTCCGTCTATTTTTAATCCCTTGGTCTTATTTTTAATAATTATTTTAATTTTCATACCTGCCCGATAGTTGACAGTCTGACACTGCCTGTTGCTATGGTTAACTTCTACGGTCCATTGTTTACTGTTTGAGACCTCTTCAGACGACCACACATAAGATGAAGAAAACAAGGGAAATTTTTTAATTTTTTCACATTTGTATTTAGTTGTCCAATTTTATTATAATTTCCATTTATTTGGATTTATTGCTACTTGTACGCGTTTTTTTACCTGATAATATTGTTAAGTAGATACTAATTTTGTTTGTGGTATTAAATATTCGTTGATATGTCAATATTTTTATAGACATTTTCATGTATCCATGAATTCGACATCAATATGAAGAGTAAATCAACATTTCTATAATATTAAAAAATATCAATAAAATATGAAAAATATCAATAATATAGACAAAATATTAATACTGACCATTTT